CAATTCTCCTTTCTGCTAATGTATGGGGTTACTTTTACTCTGATCTGACAAAGATTCAACACACACCATACCAGTCAGAAAATTTGGTAGCTCACTGCTCCCTTATAAATGGGATGGGACAATGGCAATAGATAAGGACTTTCAGTTGTGGAATGGAGCATCTCAAAACTTGTAAAATGGCCTTCATGAAAAACTAAGGACCTTGGGCTTGCTGTTGCCTTTGCCTGGAGTCTGGCTTTCACATCATGAACCTGCAATGTGATTGTCTGGGCACAAAGGGAAAAAAGATGAGGTAAAAAACAGAGTTGCTGTAGATGGCATTGTGACTGCCCACAGAAGCCTTGAGCATGCCACAAACAGAGAAACACATAGCCAAGGCATTATATCCACTGTAGCTAAGTCAGACATTCTAACTTACCATTGCAGTGGAAAGGCAACAGGAAGACAAATTTCAATTTAGGTAATTACATTCTGCGTGCTTAAATTCCACATGCAGTTTCAACTGGATACTGTATTCGTTACCACCTTTCCTAAATTTGTGTGCAGTTTTCAGTGTTTCACTCCAGAAATGAATACACTTCCGTGGTGGAACAAATTATCCCTGTATAGTTTGGATAGTGCTCACTTTGTAAAGCACTTATGTGGGGAAGGGAGGAAAGCACTATATAAAAGATTTATTTTTGCACAAGATATTTGCATTACATATCACCACCACCATAACAAAATCACCACATGCCAGTCTGTGTTTCCAGACAGCAATCTGACTTTGCAGAAAACTAACATCACTGTCTATAGGAGGGGGGGTTTTTTGCCAAAAAGATTAGGAAAAGGGCTCAGATGCTGAACAAAGTCTACTGGCAGCAACAGGTGGAGAGAAGAGAAAAGGTTGGCCTGTTTTCCTGATTAAAACTTCCCATGAAACTCTCCTAAGCACTGTCTGTTTTTTTATTTAAAAGTATGTCCTATATGAACTTTTCAAATGGCAATTTCTGTTTTAGTGTTCTCTGCCTCTTTTTCTTTGGAAAAAAGGATGAGTAGTACCAAACTCCCTTTACTTGACCTCTGGAATGAAGAGACTGGAATATACATATACTATTTTCCTACATACATTCTCCTAGATAAGGCTAGGGCTTTTAAGAGGAGCACTGACTATCGCCAAGGGTTGCTAAAGAAATGGTAAAACAAATGGGAAACAAACAACCAAAAATAGTTTATTTGTTCTGATAATCCCTAATCCATGATACAATTTCTAAATTTAAAGGGAAAAAATAGAATAAAATATGGTTCAGTGCTTTTAGCACAATGGGGTCCTGGCCTTGAGGTATTTCTGCAACACAAATAATAAACGCCCAACCCTGATAGATGAGTGGAAGAAGAGATCTATAACGAAAATCCTGCTGCCATTTCCTCCTCCATACTAAGCAGCCGGAGGACTTTGGTTGAAGTGGAACATTGTGATGCTGTTCCAAGAAGACAACCCTGACAGGGGCTCCTCAGGCTAAATGCCCCTTGTACCAGGGGCTCAAGTAGATTTTAGGGAGCAAATCAGGGCTGGATGCACAGAGATTCATTAAAATCCATGGCTTCTTGATCTACATCGATCCACCAGCCATTTCCTGCCATCCCCCCGCTCCAAGAAGAGGAGTACACCCACTGCACAAGATATTCCAACCCTGAGACTGCAGTAGTAGCCACAAAGTAGCTCCACAATTCCCGCTCATTCCCCAAGCAGGCTCTCCCTACTTAGGCTGGGGGTCTGGATCTGGGACACAAAGCATATGTCATCCCAAAGCTCTTTGCTAATTTAGACCTCACTCCTGCAATCAGATCTATATGGATACCACTGACCTCAATGAAGGAGCTCCACAAGAACACAAGGATCGGGACCTTAAACTGACATACCAAGTTACACACCGGGATGGGTTCAGTCACTACTAAAATGAAGCCACCTGTAGGCTGAAACGCAGTAACTAATGCAGGATGATAGTACACAACTGCTTTAAAAAAAACACACACACACACACACACACACACACACACAGGAAGTGAGGAAAATATTGAACTAAAATTGCAAGGGGAATTTAAGCAAGCAAAATAATTATCTGTGTTGGAAGAAATCTTTCATCAAACTATCATATTAACAGATGCAAAGAACAATAATAATTATACCTAGCTCGGAAATATTGTGTTTTTCATCCATATAACTCAAGGCTGTTTACAAAGGAGGTCAATATCCTCATTTTACAGATGGGGGAAATGAGAAGGTATAGGGGTGAAGCAACTTGCCCACAGTCACCAATCAGATTCAGTGCTTGACCCACCAGGCCTCACACCCTCCCTAAACACTCTTATCTACCATTACATATATTTTTATTTTTCAGAGATAGAAATTTCTCTGTGTGTCTAAACCTGAAACAGAAAAAAATTAATTACAAATGAAGGCCCTGATCCTGCAATCACAGCTACTAACATGGACCCATATGCCCATGAAGAGCCCCTCTGCACTCAATGGGACTCCATACAGGGGCAGGAGTCCTTGCAAATAGACTCGATTGCAAACAAAATGTGGGTTAATGTGCTGCTTGCATATCTCACTTTAACCTTTAGTCACCCGAACAAATAAAATATAAACTTCTACAGCCTTTCAAATCTCAGAGCTACAGCTCTAAAATACTGATTTTTTTCCCACCAATTAATCTAGCTCATTGAAAGTAACCTATGTTCATACAATAAGAATTAAGGGGGAGGACTGGGAATAAAATTTACCGTATACACCTCATTTGGGGAGGTTACAGCTCCAATTTTTCCTGAACGCAAAGTTTAAAATTGTATTAACAGAATAAAATGAAAATAGAATACATTGCACACCTTCTTGCTGCTTCTTTGCTTAACAATAAAGGAATACAGTTCTGTGGACTAGAGTAAAGTTGAGACACAGAAAACTGAATACATCCCCTGCTCCTAACAATTTTATGCAGTGAAAACCAGGCCTGCCATAATCTCATTTATCTAGCGGGAGACTCCCTCAGTCTTCATTAATCTGAAAGCAGTTTTATAAAGTAGCGCTCACTCGTTGGCTGTAGGATTTTTCCTAGTTTGTTTCAATTTAACATTTAAAATCTCCTGCCTTGTCTGGAGGTTGGAGGAATTACTACTGCACACTCAAATTCTCTCATCAAAACCAGCTCTGATGTTTTCAGACCTACTGACTTTTCACTCACGTTGTGCTTAATTTTTAAAGCAGGTGTCCATCTTACAACTAATTCTTTCAATAAGATTTTATAATTTATAAATATTATTATAAATCTCACTCCTTCCAATCATCCATGAGGGAAAACAATGATGTGAACTTGACAAGTTGACTCATGTTGTGATCAGTTTTTTAATTATTTTTTTACAAAGTATCTGTTCCTTCAACAAAGGACTGTTGTTTTATTTTTTTCACTATTTAAATGATGCTATTTTGGGGAAGTAGAAAAATGACAAAAGTACCCTCCTATTCACAATATGCCAGCTTGACCAGCCATGATGAATGCAGATCTGCTATTTGGGTCATTAATTGGAAAGCAGTTCTAAATCTCATGACTGATTTTTTCCCACTGTTTTTTTCAGTCAGATTACAGTTATGTTACATCTTACTCATTATTTTAAATCTCCCTCTTCAAAATCACCCAAGCTGGGCCTGTCCCTGTGAAAAACAATAATGCCAAATCCTCTCTCGTTTTGAAACTCATATTAAAGCACAGCTTGTAAGAGTGTGTTTTCATCCAGTAAAAGGAAGGAATTTATTTTGTCTTGTGTCAATGACACATTTAAAATCTCCCTTTACTCGAAACTACCACAGCTTGATCAACTATATTCAGACCAACCAACTTCTCATATGTATGAAAGTTACTACAAGAACCTGGTCCTTCCAACACTTACATGCAGATAATGTCACTCATGAGAGTAATCCTAGCCAGAACTGGTCTCTCTGTTTGCAGGTTTCCACCCTAAAAGAGTTGTTAAGGCTTTGTTTGGGGACGGAGGGGGGTTAAATAAGACCTTTCCACTTTTCAGCTTCCACAAGATTTTCAGTGCATAAACATCAAGTATCAGAGGGGTAGCCGTGTTAGTCTGAATCTGTAAAAAGCAACAGAGGGTCCTGTGGCACCTTTGAGACTAACAGAAGTACTGGGAGCATAAGCTTTTGTGGGTAAGAACCTCACTCCTTCAGAGGCATCTGAAGAAGTGAGGTTCTTACCCACGAAAGCTTATGTTCCCAGTACTTCTGTTAGTCTCAAAGGTGCCACAGGACCCTCTGTTGCTTAGTGCATAAACAGTGATCTCAGAGGGTTTTCTGGGTTCAGTCTCCTCACTTCACATTGCCTTACCTTGGGACAGCCCCCGTGTAGCAATCAAAAATGCAAGTTAACCAAGCCCTCGCTCATCTGGGGATTCATTTTTAAGGCAGTTGTTAAAATCTGACTTTTTTTTTTACCCCTCAATAAACTCTACAAAAAATATATATTTTTTAAATCTCTCCTCTTCTTCCCTGGGTTCAGCAACTCCCCCCACCTAACCCCACCCGGGGTAAAAACCAAAGAGACCCACACCCCCAACCCCACCCCCGAAGAAACCCCTGACCCGGGGAGGGGGGGGCAGCCAATTGTGTGGGAGGCATCTCCCAGCTCTCAGAGTTGTGCCAGCTCTGCCCGGCCTGGGGCGGTGTTTCTCTGCCCCTGGGTGTCTCGCCCAGGGGGGCAGCTCTGCAGCCGCCCGGGCTGAGGCTGGTTGTAAACAGCCCCTGAGCTGCTGCTGCTGCTGCAGGCCCCTCCGCAGACACAGGGCCCTCTTCAGCCGGCACTGCTCAGCCTCCAGCCCGGCCAGCTGCCTCAGCCCGAGCCCCCGGGAGGCTGCTGGGCCTCGAGGGGGCCCCGATCCCCTCCCCGGGGCTCTCCCAGGCCGGGCCCCCCTGCCCTGGGCCCCCCTAGGGGGGGAATAGGGAAGTCCTGACTTACCTGTCATTACTTTCTACGCCATCTTGGATCCACTTGTCAACGTCCCCACAAAGCATTGTGGGAAAAAAAACCTCCCCCCACCCCTCTCTCCTTCCCCCCAGCCCAGGAGCAGAGCAAAGAAAGTTAGAGGGGAGCCAGGCAGGCGGGGGAAGGGGGGGGTGCTGCTGGTGGTGGTGGTAAAAACAAAGTGGGGCGCCCCATCCCAACGGGAAGCGGGGGAGGATCGGAGCGAGGGCATGGAGCTGCCTGGCATGCTCCTGTCTCTGGGGCACTGAACAAGGTGGGCTGCCCCTGGCAGGGTTTTGCCAAAGGAGTGAAATCGCTGGCTCTCCATGCACCCCGCAAGCAGCTGCTGGAGCAAAGAGGGACTGCGTTGAATCGTGTGGTTTCTGCTTGCTTTTTTCTCCCCCCCCTCATCCCCCGGGAACTTTCCTCCTGGGGAATGTGTCACTGGCATGCATCAAATTGCCTAGGTCAGGACAACAGGTTATGGAGGACCAAATTAATTCATTATCCGTTTCCCTTGCAAAATAAGGATATACCATATTTCTAAAGGAGATTTTTTTTTTATATACATGTACCATGGGAGTTGCAGACATAACTACATGTAACTGCATTTTCTGGGGTATGGTTTATTGAAAATAGATTTTTCCTCTAGCAACTTTTTATTTTTCAAAAAGCATGTACCCGTTCAGAAATGCATTATTGGGTATTTCTGCATGCTACAAAATGTCTTGTATGCCAGCCTCTGTGGCAAAGTGCACCAGTGCATGGAAATATGTTTTTGCCTTGCACTTATTTTATTATAATTTTTTGCAATAATTTCCTTTCCCCATATGGGATTGTATTAGTGGCTGTGTATATATACCAAATGTACAAAAACAGTGTAACATTTCTCAGGAAAGTATGTTGTTGCATTTTAAAATGTTTTTTCCCCTTATAATTTTGCTAAGGAACTTTCCCTTTCAGAAACCAATTTCTGGCTCTGCATGAATCTCAGAAACTATTTTGTTTAACAGGTTTCTTTTTGCAAAGAACTCTTTCCTGTTAGCAATGTATTATTGGCTCTGCCTTCAAAATGCTTAGCCACCATATTGTTTCAAGTATTTTTCTTCACAATTACCATGTTTTGCAAAATAACTTTGGAAATGTTATTAACTCTGTATGCATGCATGTCACAAAATGCCTTGCTTGTTATGCTTTGGGGCAAATAACATACAAATACAGTACAAGACTGGAAAAATTATGATCTGACTTCAGCCTTTTAAGGTAGGTCACTTATGAACTAGGATTGCAATTGGTTTTTTTTTAACTTTCCCCTCAACTTTTTTAATTAAGAAAAATATAGGATTCAAATTGATTTAGCACTGAATTGACCTAAATGCATTTATATTTAAGTTTACACTGAATATCATCCACATTTCTTGAGGACTAACCACTTACACACTACCTGAGGTTTTGCCACTGCAAGCACAGAGACTTGTACCCAGGAATATTTTCAGTACTCATAAGACTCTTTGCAGAAATATAAATAACACAAGGAAATAAATTGCAATGTGAAATCTTTTGCTGCCCAGATGTTAAATCAATGCACTTATCTTCCTTATTCAACTTTAAAGACATGTTTGCCAGCATGATTAACTGTTTCAGTGCCATGGTGGAGGCCACGTCAGGGACTGCTGAGGAGGAGTGTGGTATTTCCACTCTGAGGGAGGGAGGACGCCATTTCAAATGACAAAAATATTCTTGTGCAGCCTGCCCTGGGCCATCACTGCTGGCTGGGGAGGGGCTGCCTGCCTGCCTGCCACAGGCACCCATCCCCCAAAGTAAACATGCTGCAAATGGGAACCAGTCACAAAAAGTTTCCACCAGCCCAAACGACCTTTCCTCTCTGTCATAAATGGTGCACTGTGACTTTAAATGTCTTTCATTGAATCTTTGGAAACCCTTGCAGCCACACTGACAGGAAGGACTTGTCCTCCTAGGTAACTTGGATTTGGAGGATATTAACAAGACCACTGTGTGGGACAAGTCAACTGTCAGTTTATAGCCATATATCTTTTAAAAACACCAGAATCACAGGAAATAGTTAAAGAATGTTTCACATCTACTTAACTGTTTGCCATTGTTTTCTGTTCTGCCCTTTGCATTTCATTCAGCCAGGACGTTTGAAATAGATTAGTCAGTATCACGTTTTGTTCCTTCTCAATTTCACTTTCGACTTTTCATACACTTTCACAATGTTGCAATGTTTGTGTTGAAAACTGCTGAGGAGTTTTGCTTTGTTTTTTAAATCAACTGGAATTTAGAAAGGAAGGGATTTAGAAAAATAACATGTCCACTGGAATTAGAAAAAAAATGAAAATTTCTCTATTTGGCTTATGTTTTACAAAAGCTTCTCTTTGCCAATATTTGATCTGACTGTGTCTCTTTACACATTGTACAATGGTAAGAATTATTTTGTGTACATAATGATTAAACAAGGAGAGAAAGATTTGACACAATGTGTCAGGGTGTGAGTGCATTTTCCTATTTAGTCTAGATTATATTATTTCACATTTACCAGGAGCTTTTCAAACTACAACCCTGAAATGCAGCCACCTCTGGGAAATGATAGCAGCCAACAGCACACAACACTATCCAAAGATGAGGGTGGGGAAATTCTGGCCATGATATTGGCAGAAGCCTCCACTATTATGAGAAATGCCATGTATAACATACAATACTGAAAATCTACACACATATTTCATCTGAAGATCTTGCTGCTTAAATTAAACCCCTCAACATCCATGTGAAGTAGCAAGAATTGTTGCATTTTGCAGAGTAGTTAATTGTGACACAGGAAGGTAAATGGACGTGCCCAAGGCTACAAATGGAATCAGCAGCAGAGAGATGGGATTAGCTTCTAAATCCCAGTTTTTTACTCCTCTGTTCAAATCACTACGCTATAGATTCTGATCCTGAAAAATGTGAATGGTCAGGGATTTTTCCATATGATTCCCCTCTCCAACCTTCTTCACAATCCATATTTATTTGAGGGGAAGGTGCAAACTGTAAAATTGGGCCAGAACAAAACCCTGGATCCAGACACCCTCAAAGTTTGGAAGTTCATATTTAATTGATGAAAATTAACACCCTTAACTGCCACAATGCAAAAATAGGAAGGGCTCCCAAAGAGCAGATATCTACTTCCTCCTCTTCTATGTGCCTTATGTGACAGCCACCATTTTGGTTGATACATTAGCAATTGAACCTAGCACCTCTAGCACTAAACACCTTAAGTAGCTACAGCTTGAGCGAAAGAGACAGACTTGCCGCCTTTGTGGTTTGGGCACAGAAAGAGATCCGTAACACAGTGACCAGTAGATTCCATCTTCACAACCCCTTATACAAAGTTTAAATTCTTCACTGCAGATTTCGGAATGAATGACAACATTGAATCTGGCTAAATGTGATCCAGGAGGGGGGCATGGATTACTATATTTCCTGTCTGCTTTCCAAGTGTGGAGCTGGGCAGGGGCATCACATCCTAAGCAGAAAGGATAGAAAAGATGGAATTTCTCTGGCCTCATCTCTGATCTTCTCACACACATCGATACCGTTTTTTCACCTTTCCTTTTGGCCTAATCCCTTTTGTCCTCTTGCTGTCCAATAATAACCCCTTTTGTTTCTATCTTCAAAATTGTAATGATTTTATAATTCTCTTGCACTACCTCTCTCTCTCTCTCTTTTTGCTGAGCTAGCTTGGTTGGAGGCTGCACTTCACCTCCACAAGTGACAGGTGGTGGCAAGTCCTGAGTCAGCAGGTCAGGAAAACAGCAGCATTGCAAATGAGAGCATTAACAAATGAGTGTAGGACCAAACCGGTGGACTCTGGCACTTTACACTGGAATTGTATCAGACTGGTTCATGTATGCACACATTTTGCCTTCTCACCACCATTCAACCTACATTTGGCTGATCCTTAAAAGGTTTTAAATTCTGTAGAGGAAATAGCATCTAATGATCCAAGCATGGGACTGGGAGGCAGGATTCCTGGGTTCTGCTGTCAACTTGCTATCTAAATTTGGTCAAATTATTTGCTTTACCTGTCTGTAAAATTCCATAGAATATTTACTTATTTGGCAACAGAATTGTGAAACTTGTTTATAAAGCACTAGGAAGAAAGTCACTCTGTAAGTGCAAAGTATTATATGCCATGAAGTTAACTCTTACCTTGGCTAAAGATAAGGAACCTTTATATTGGCCTGTTTGTAAAATGGGAGACAGTATTTATTAAATACATTAATTAGTTAATCTCTCTCTCTTTATACAGCCCCCATCACTGTAGTGTCTTAGTACCTCACAATCTTTCAGTGTATTTATCCTCACCATCCATTATCCCCATTTTAGACATGGAGATCTGAGGCACACAGAGGCTAAGTGACTTGCCCAACGTCACAAAGGAAATCTGTGGTGGAGCAGGATAGTCAACCTCGGTTTCCCACATTGTGGGCTAGTGCCTTAATCCCTGGATCATCCTTCAAAATGGGGAATGTATTAATGCAAACTCATTAATAATAGTGTTAATTATTGCATGAAGTTGTTAACCAAGCTTTGCTCTATTCAGGGATGAATCCCACAATATTATCTACAACAATAATTTTTCTCAGGCTCCCTCCCATTTCTGGGTACCTGTTACATCAGCAAGTGTAAAAAAAAAAATCTGTATTTTTAACTCATGTCTGATCCACTGGATTTTGAATAGTGACCAGAACCTAATCTCCTTGGTATTTGTATTTCTAGAGAATAACTGCAATATTCAGGGCAAATAGAGCCCTTTATGGACCAGATTCTGCAGAGCCCTTTATGGACCAGATTCTGCAGAGAATTTCGCACTCACTTAAACAGAAGCCAAACTCGGTCCTATAACAATGCAAAAACAAAACAGAATGAGGTGATCACACTGCACTTTCATGCTGGCTGAAAACAACTTCCAGACATTAAAATCAAGGTTATCCTTACTCAGCATGGACATTATTAGCGATAGTAGCATCACAGTAGTGCCTAGAAGTCAGCGCCCCATTGTGTTAGACACTATACAGACACAGTCAAAAGACAGTTCCAACCTAAATGAGCATACAATCTAAGCTAAAGACCCCATGC